AACCAATCAAGATTCAGTGGTCCAGTGGTTCTCACATGAAGATATTTACTGAACCACTTGTTATGTTATGTCCTTGTTATGTTATGTTATGTTAATCTAACTAAGATAAGTGTGCGTGTGTGTGGATGTGGTCAGCTGTTTATTAACAGCTGCTAAGTTGCTTGTTACATGTGAGATGAGTATGGAATTAAGCGAGCTGACAAATTAAATATTCTCTTTCGGATGACTTTGATCAGCTGTTTAAAAACTAGTTAAAATATTTAATTAATTAATTAACTAAGAAATGAATGAATAATAAAAAGGTGAAAAAATGAATGAAGAACGAACGAACAAATGAACGAACGAACAAATGGAGAAAGAAATGAATGGACAGAATAATGAATGGAAATGTGGAGACAAATCACGCATCAGTAATTAAGATTCATTTATTCAACGATTTGTTGTTCTCGCTTGCTATCACCATCATCATCATCATCGACGTCATCATCATCATCATCGACGTCATCATCATCTTCATCAACGTCATCATCATCATCCACGTCATCAGCATCACCATCCTTATCATCATCATCGACGTCATCATCATCACCACCAACGTCATCATCATCATCAACGTCGTCATCATCCTTATCATCTTCGTCATTATTATGGCGATAACCTCGTTCTTCCCTCTTATTCTTAGTACAGGCGGTATGGTTGGACGTTCGGATCCAGCCACCTTGAAGCGCCGAGTTCAACCGCAACCAAAACAGAAGTCGCCAACTACCTCCCACTCAATTTAATTTTATTACTATTCGTTTATTCTCATAGCCTGCTAAATAAATAACATAATAATAACAATAATAATAATAATAATGATAAATTGACATTAATGTTGTTAATTTTAATTAAAAATTACATTAGTGTTAAGCTAAAAACATCTAACACTAATTATATATACATAAACATATATATATATAAACATATATATATATAAACATATATATATACATATATATATATACATATATATATATATACATGTATATATATATACATAAACATATATATATATATATATATATATATGTGTGTGTGTATATATATAAATATACACACATATATATGTACTATTCATTTATAAAAAAAAGACTATCATTAAAAATTGATGAAAATTTTAACAGTGTAAAATTCTTGCTTCACGCTCACGTACACAGACACACACACACACACACACACACACACACACACACACACACACACACACACACACACACAGACATACGCATACATAAGAATAAAGACAAACTGATTCACAAACACACACACACACAGACATATGTTACACAAACATATATATATATATACATATATAAAACAGGCAAACGTACAGACATCACACAAACAAATATACACACACAAACTTACAAACACACACGCACGCACAAACATACGCTGTGATTTTCATCAATATATATATATATATATATATATATATACACACACAAGCATATATACACATATATAAAATATGTATATATATATATACATATATTGTATATGAATTATATACACGTCATATTGTCAGAAATGTTTTAAATCATTAAATCAAGTATTTTTTCATTTCATGCACGTCCCATCATTAGGATGAATTGTCATTCATTCATCCTTTATTCATCCATTCCTACAATCCGTGTTTCTTTCGTCGTTTCTTCATTCATTCACTCACTCATTCGTTCATTCATTCATTTTCTAATTCACTCATTCATTCGTTTGTTTCTAATTGATTGCATTTATTCAATCGATATTTTTACATCATTCAATCATTCATTCATTCATTCGTTCATTTATTCATTCATTCATTCGATCATTCATTCATTCGTTCGTTCTTTCATTCGTTCTTAAATTCATTGACCATACAGACACAAGAATAATTATTATTATAGCTGAATACATAGATTATATGTGCGAAATGAATTGGAGTAAAAGATAAATATATGCGCTTGTGTGACTCGGTTATGTTAAATCAACTTTCTATACCTTTAAGTAATATAGAAAAATATAAATAATTAATGAATAAATAAATATAATGTAACGAAAAATATAATAATTATATTTAATAATAATAATAACAATGAATGAGTGATAGAAGTTACTTACAAAAGGTTAATTATTAAAATGCCTTAAATAAATGAAAAATCATTTGAATGAATGAATGTATGAATGAATGAATGTATGAATAAATAAATGAATGAATGAATGATTGTATGAAAGAAATTCAATTTTTTTTCAGTATACTCACACCTTCAAGCAAAAAAAACTCGTGTTAGTTTGATAATTGACTAATTTAGAAATTTTATTCCAATTGATAAACTAAATTTCATCCATCCATCCATTCATTCATCCATCCATTCATTTATTCATCCATCCATTCATTCATTTATCCATCCATCCATCCATTCATTCATCGTCACACAACTGATCTTTCGAAATGAAATCGACACGGAAACAAAACTCGAAAATCTTCCTATAAATATTACATTTTCATTAGCAACTGAATATAGAAGATATGAAAGTCAAAATATGCATACATACGTACACACACACACACACACACACACACACACACACACACACACACACACACACACACACACACACACACACACACACATACACACGCAGTCATACATACATTCATTCACACTCACATACACACACACACGCGCGCGTGTGTATGTGATAATAATAATAATAATAATAAATAGTAGTAGTAGTTGTTGTTATTGTTGTTGTAGTAGCAGTGGTAGTAGCAGTAGTAAAACGACTGGTACTATCTAAATATACACATATACACATCATATTACTAATGGTAACGTAACTATCATTTTCTAATACTACATAGTACACACACACACACACACACACACACACACACACACACACACACACACACATACACACACATACACAGAGTACTAAAAATATTGTACAATAAATGAAATATGATTCGATGTACTCAGATCAAAATCTCATTCTCATTACCAGACAGATATACTGAACACGCATTTAATAAAGTACCATTGTAAAACAGTCATAAGTATAACCAAGAAATTATTCTATTATTATTATTCATATGGTACTAGCTATATATACATATATATATATATATATATTTGTGTGTGTGTGTGTATCATAATCGTAATAGTACCGTAACGATACTATCTGTCTTCAAAAAACTATACAAACGTGCAAATATATATATATATATATATATATATATATATATATATATATCTCATATATATCGTATCATATATCTCCATTCACTTATTAATACATAATTGCACACACACATACATACACGTACATACACGATGCGCAATACAATATGTAGTATATATAGATATGATATGACAGATGTAGCGGAAATATGAATAGAACATTTAAATTGATACATATATTGTGTTTGTGTGTGCGTGCGTGTGTGTGCGTGTGTGTGCGTGTGATCTCAAAAAAGAAGTTAGAAATTTTCAACATCAACTACAATCATTCAATCTATATTATATTTTTTAAACCTATGCTAATAATAATAAGCAAAACAATACTAACAATAATAAAGTAATATTATTATCAATTATAGCAATAATAATAATAATAATAATAATAATAATAATAATAATAATAATAATAATAATATAGAAATAAAAAAATTAATTTAAAAAATCAGTAATAGTAAAAATAATGAAAAAACTATATTTATTCACATAAGACAGACAGACTTATCGTCAACATAGATTTAGCAACGCATTTGAAAAATTATTTTAGATTAATATTATTATTGTCATATATATATATATATATATATATATATATATATATATATATATATATATATATATATATATATATATACAGTAATGTATAAATTTTACCGAATTGTTGGCATTATTCAATTTAAGGTGTGTTTTTTTCAATTTTCCTGGCTAGGACTTTCTGAAAATTGTTCAATTTGTTGAAAATAGTATTATCCAAGTTCATCATGAAAATGTAATGAAACTGTTGTTATCCATATTCATCAGTCAGATAGACCTTATTTCGATTTTTCACAAATCATCTTCAGTGCAGGTTTGGCTAATATAATTTCTTTAAAAAAAGTAAAGTTAGTCCTTCAGTCAAGTGAGTTAGTTATTAGTATATTCTTCATCTTTGTTGTCGTCATTCCTTTGTTCTTCATTGTTATTGAAGTCGAGTTGTTAATGATGTAATCTCATTCCTTGTTTATTTAAGCTTTATTGATATCAATTTGAGCTTCTGTAATTTTTAGATATAGGATAATAATTCTATTTTCAATAAATTGAACAGTTTCCTGAAATTTTAGTTTGGAGAATTGAAAAGACAAACTTGATTAACGCCAACATCTCGATAGAATTTATAGATAGAATGGTTTATATATATTATTATAAATATATTACATACACATAAGTGTGCTTGTGTGTAAACGTGTGCGCGTGTGTGCGATAGCGTGTGCGAGGTTTAATTACTAATACGAAGATGATGTGATGCAAGTGATGAAGTTAAATTAATTAAAAATTAATTAATTGTTTGGTTAATTTAATTAGAGGATGTACAATCCGACTATTTATTTTTTTGTTTGAAAAACATTTTCAGTATATCTAATTAAAATTAATGAATAATTCACTATAACCAATTAATATAATTGGAAAAGTCAAATGAATTCATTCATTCGTTCATTTTTTCCATTCTTTCAGTTCATCCATCAATAATCCAGCCCACAATAAGCCAATTAATATTTCCATGAAATTATCCAATCATTCATCAATTCATTCATTCACTTAATTATTCATCCACCCAATCATTAAATCACTCAGTCAATCATTCAATAAACTAATTATTAATTTTCCTTCCTAACAGTAATATAAAATAAAACATTTAACTAATCATAATTAAACTATTATAAAAAAAAACCCAAAAAAGATCATAGATCGTAGAGAAAAAAATTTTTTAAAAACCTTCTTTATTAATGACCACACGCAAACATGGTGGGATATATATTATATTTTTGAAAATATCTAATATTAAATTATTTATTATTATAAATAATTATATACAAATGTATATAATATACGTATATATAATTTATATATATATATATATATATATATACATATACATATATACGTACATTACTATTTATTAATTTACACTTAACCTTTATATATATAAAAGTATACATAGAACACTAATGATATTAATAATAATACTACCAAAATAATAATAACAATAATAATAATAATAACAACAATAATAATAACAATTAACTATAATAATATATGATAGAACATACAACGCAAATAAATAAACATCCTTTGTACAGAGTCAAATTGGGATTATTATATTTATTGATTGATGATTTTATTTCATAATAAACGAAAATAAATGTCAATAAATCAATTATATAAACGTATATATGTATGTATATATATATATACATTTACATATATATGTATATATATATATATATATATATATATATATATATATATATATATATGTCAATGTACGTTAATGATTGACACGAATAAACAAACACACAAACCACAAGCAAACGAAAAAATTAAGTGAATATTGAAGAATAATAAGACAAAAAAAGAAACAAAAACATACTGAAAGAAATAAAGGTTTAAATTGAAGAAAAGTTTTAGATATGCAAAGAATTAAAATCAAATTAAACTTTAAAATAATAATTAGTTAATATTATTATAATTATTATTGTTGTTGTTGTTGTTATTATCAAAATTAATCAATTAAACAATTAATTAATTTAATTAATTTATTAAATGACGAACAAAAAAAAACTTCTAGGAAAATAGTCATAGATAAATGTTCGTTATAAATTTTATATAATTAAATTTTTTAACATTATTAAAAAAGTTATAAAGATAATTAAATTTATTTCATTTAATCAGCTGATGAATGAAATGAATGAGTGAATGAATGAGTGAATGAATGAGTGAATGAATGAGTGAATGAATGAGTGAATGAGTGAGTGAGTGAGTGAGTGAGTGAGTGAGTGAGTGAGTGAGTGAGTGAGTGAGTGAGTGAGTGAGTGAGTGAGTGAGTGAGTGAGTGAATGAATGAATAAATGAATGTATGAATGAATGAATGAATGAATGAATTAATGAATGAATTAATGAATGAAGTAACTTATTAATTAACTAATTAAAGAAAGAAACAAACAAACAATGAAAAAATAAATGAAAAAAAGTAAGATAATGAATTAATGAAAATACATACAAAAAGGAAAAAAAACTAATGAAAACCAAAAAAAAATTAAAAAATCAAACTAAAAAAAAAAGTTCGCCTAATTCACATTTACAAATCGACATGACTTATAGCTACTTCGTGACTTTTCGACATCGAAGAAGTACTACTACTGCAAAGTGTTGGCAGACGATTGCTACTATCCTGGTCACCTGCAGTATTAGTAGTAGTAGTAGAAGTGGTAGCGATGGCAGCGGTAGTATTCGCACTAGTAGTGACGTTCGTCGTAGTGTGGTTGGCAGTAGTCGCGCTGACGTCACTAGCTGAGGAGTTCTGTTTGGAGAGGGCTGTGACGATGGGGTTGCTGGTAAAGTGGGCCGGTATGAGGCGGCTGGTTAGCTGAGGTTTGTTTCTTAGTTCTGTTGTTGTTGTTGTTTGTTTGTTTGTGGTTGTTGTTGTGGTGTGGTCGTTGTTGTTTGTTACTGTGGTTGTTGTTTGTTGTTGTTGTTGTTGTTTGTTGTTGTTGTTTATGTTGCTGCTTGTTGTTACATCTGGGACAATGCAGTCAGAAACATATTGCATGCATACAGACAAAGATAAAGAGAAATATATAGATGTAACAAAACAAAGATAAAGATACTAAACATATGCAGACAAACAAGAACAACATATATACAATTTTACCAGACACATACTAATTTTTACGCACACACAAACACACACGGATAGGCAGACAGACAGGCAGACAGAACATAAAAAAGACCTGCAGAGGAAAAGTTGAAAAGTGTTGGAAGATCCTTGCCACTCAGAAGTTTCGTCTTAGGATCCCTCAACTCATCAAAGAATGCATGTGCACATGCTTCCAGTGGAGACAATCTGAGGATAGATGGATGGATGAAGAATTGAATAAATGAACGAATAAAGGAACGAACGAACGAATGAATTAATTAATTAGTTAATTAATTATCGAATTAATTGATTGATTGACTAATAATTGATTAAACGAATGAACAAATGATAAACGGTTTTGTGATGAAACGGATGAAAGAATTCATGCCAAAAGTAGCTAATGAGATAAACCAATAAAAAAAACAATCAGTAGGCAAGATGGATGGATAAATCAATGCATGAACTTACAAAAGGAATAGATCAAATGGAAGAATGTACGTATGAACGAAAAAAACCTATAGACAAATTAGACTAATTGATGAAAAAGATTTAAAAACAGCTAAAAAATAAACAAACAAACAAGTAAGCAAACAAACAAATACAAAATTTATCTAAATATGAACACCAAAAAAACTAGACAAAATTTAAACAGATTTATAAATCTATAGTCATTATATAGCCCGATTGTAGTATCATCACTGCGCAATTGTAATATAATCACACTATAACAAAATATACTAATAATTATAACCAATAATAATTATACTATAATAAAATAGAGTAATTATAGTCAATAATAATAACTTATAATATACTATAATAAATACGGATTCACAAAGTGGGGGCTGACCTCTTGGTTGGCGTGTAATCTAGCAGCTGACTGATCAGATCTAAAGCTTCAGGTGGAGTCCGTGACCTAAAAACCTGGAAACGTTAAAAATACTAACATTGATGATAGTAATTTGTAGTAATAGTATCAGATACAGATACAAATACCCAAAGATCCATTACTTGATGATATATAAATTTATAAAATACCACTACTTTATAGTAGCATTATTTTTAGATATAAATTAGACTATTTGTCTCCGCCTTATAAAATTGAAGAGAAATACAATATGGCGGTAGAAAAAGTACCAACAAAAAAGACGAATAGTGAAACAAAAACGGTTGAATAGTGAAAGAGGAAATAGAAAAGCAGACTCACTTTAGACCAGGGATGTGCCTTGATTTGGGGGAATTTAAATTCTTGGTAGCTCGGATTCATCTCTCGAATTTGCTCTCTAGATGGTGTGCCTAAGACCTTAGTTTGTGATGAAATGTACAAAATAATTTAACATACGCCACAAATATAACAGCATACAAAACACATACAAAACACATACAAAAGGCATACAACAAACAAAACGACGACCGACCTTGATGATCTCGACCAGTTGATCAACACCACTCTCACCTGGGAAGATGGGCTGGCCAAGGATCAACTCGGCCACTACACAACCAGCTGACCAGATGTCTGAAGATGATGATGTTGTGATGATACAGTGACGATGAATTTAGTAATGGTAATGGCATAAATGGTTAGTTTTTTTTTAACTTTTCTCTTTAGAATTTCTCAGAGGAATCAATCCGCCCATCGATTAAATTACAATGTAATAGGTGATGATCACTTTGCTTTCGAACTCAGTCACTGCAACACCAATCAACCAGCCAACTGACCTATTTGAGAGGTGTAATCAGTAGCCCCGAATATGAGCTCGGGTGCCCGATAGTACCTTGAACAGATGTACGACACATTTGGCTCATCCTTAACCAATGGCTTTGCACTGTTTGTTCAGTGAATGAAGAAATGAATGAGTGAATTAATGAATGAGTAAATGAGTGAATGAGTGAATGAATGAATGAATGAATGAATGAATGAATGAATGAATGAATGAATGAATGAATGAATGAATGAATGAATGAATGAATGAATGAATGAATGATGAAAAACAGAGATAAAAAAATGACTAAAAAGTGATAATGAGAGTAAGAGAAAGGGAGAAAAGGTAAGAGGAGAGTGATAAGAGAATAAGAAAGATAAAAAATGATGATCCCAAACAAGAAGCATTACACTATTTCTCAATAACTGTAGTAATATTTGAATGAGGTGTATAAAAACATTACACACACACAAAGACACACACAAAAACACAGACATATAAAGACAGATTTACAAACAAGCACACAAACACATACACACACACACAGACAAACGAACAAACACACAAACAGACCTCCCAAAGTCACAGAGCTTGAGTACACCAGTCTCATAGTTGAGTAGGAGGTTCTGTGGCTTGATGTCTCTATGGCATATGCCCAACATGTGAATATGTGAGAGACTTCGAAACAGCTGGTACATGTACAGCTGTGTGTAGAAAAGATGTTCACAGTATTAGATACAAACACTTACACGTACACAAACACATACATAAACACATACATATACACAAAAACATACATATACACAAACACATACATATACACAAACACATACACAAATACATACATATACACAAACACATACCTAAGTTATACAAAATAAACCCATACATAAGTTATACAAAACAAATACATACATAAGTTATACAAAATAAACACATACATAAGTTATACAAAACAAACACATAAGTTATTCAAATCAATCCTAGTTTATAGTCTCCATCCGTTTAAGGTTGGACATAAGTTATACAAAACCAACACATACATAATATATACAAAACAAACACATACATACTATATACAAAACAAACACATAAATAATATATACAAAACAAGCACATACATAATATATACAAAACAAACACATACATAATATATACAAAACAAATGCATACATAAATTGTACAAAACAAACACATACATAAGTAATTAATATACAATCTATATTAACATAGTTGATATCTTCATCATGTCAAAGATATTAGCATTTTATTATTAACCAAAAATATCATCATTATTATTGTTATTATTATTGTTATCATCATCATAGTGATCATTGCCATAACCACCTTAATTAGTACATGGGGCATAGTTTGTTTGTTCTTGCTGTACGTCCTGGCTACTTTGTACAGTGTCTCCGGCACGTACTCGAGGACCAAATTCAGGTACAGCTCATCCTTCTGTTCATCCGTCCGTCCATCCATCCATTTTCAAATAGAACAGATGAAGTAAATGCAAATAATAATTAGTAAATAATTAACTTTGATTGTTATTTTAAAATGCTAACAGCATTTTCAGCCAAGCAAGCAGAACCTCTTCACCAGGTATTAAACAATCAAAGAACCAACTAGGCTACAATGACAGCACTACTATACTATGACAGCACCAGCAATAACATTAACAGCGAATGACATCACAAATAACCAGCGACATCACATCAACCCAGCAACAACAACAACAACAACGTTTGGAACACTAAACACCTTCCATCATCAATAACGCCGATAGCAGCAGAAAACATTGTTACATCAGTAGCAACTAAATCAACAACGACGACAGCAACAATAACAACAGCAACAACAACAACATTAAAAATGGTGGTAACAGCAATAAGAAACCTTCTCTCCACTAGAATAAAAGTAGTAGAGTAGACGAACGACATTAATATGGTCCAACTTCATCATTATCTGTAGTTCCCTATTCTAAATTGTCATAAAAAATACATATATATATAATTAATTATTACATATAAATTAATTAATTAACTAATTTGATAAATAATTAGTAAATTAATTGATTAATGAACCGTTAATTTATTCATCAATTAGAAGTGTGTAATTAAATGCCATAAATATTACAAAGTTTACATACATACAGGGAGAACTCTGGTACATGGGATATATATTTAAATTAAACACATACATCAATAGTAATATAATGTATACATATAAAAATAGATTATCACATTAGGCAATTAAAAAATTTTGAACTAAAAAAACACATTTTTAAACGAGAAAAAAACAAATATAAAACAAAAAAACCATTGCACAAAAATATACACATATACATATACAAACTTGTACACATCTCTAATACAAATACATGCTACATGCATAAATATTAATTTATATATGCATGCATGCATACACACATACGCATACAAGCACACGCACGCACACACATATACATGCACACCCAAACAAACACACACAGGCAAACATACAAGCATTCATACAAACTAATTTCCATTAACCAACATAGCATGCAACTGTGACAAATTTAATTAAAAAAGAAGAGGAATAAAATTTAAGGTCATCATTATCTTAAAAATACATACATACATACATACAAACAAACATACATACATACATACACAAAGACACACAAAAACATATGTAGAAATCTCTGTACATATGTATACACATAAAAACAAACAAACCTGCATACATATAAACATGCACTTTCATGCACATATATACAGATACAAACACAAAGTCAATATCTTCATTGGTATGTTTTAATAGTCATACTATATCACCACTTACTGGGAAAATATAAAAAAAAGGTGATAATTATGTTGAACTAAGTACACACACAAACACCACACACAAACACGCACACACATACATAGACCTGTGTACATGTGTGTGTGTGTGTGTGTACACTTACATGAATAAATAAAAAAAATAAATATTTTTTTGTTACTCCATACTTTCTAAACATTTAAACATTAAGGATTAGATTCATTGGTTAGCACACCATCCATTTGGTTGTGTTTAGTTTAGTTGCTTCCCATCACTATATGTTTGTTTGTATGTAGGTATGTATGTACTGTACATATGTACATATATATATGTATATATATATATATATATATATGTGTGTATATATATATATATATTGTATATATATATACCATTTAGATTTTTTCTACTAAATATGAAGAGAGAAACATCTGTACACAAACAAGAGTTTGCAGATATATACAAACCAAAAACCATACCATTTAAATACAAGAAAGAATAAACAAGTGTAAGAGATTCTAAGGAAATGTTACTAATAAGTAAAACTGTATATGTAACCTATATACAATTAATAATTTAAATCCAAAGCAAATTTAAGTAAAATGAGCACAAATACATAGAGCATATATGCATATACAAAATA